CCATACAACTTTTGTCTGAAACATTTTTTCATATCTCTTTTAGTTTTTTAAAAAATCGACTGTATAAATCAAAATGGCCCACCCTGTATATACATATACATATACACATATTATTTTATATGTTATCATTTTATAATCACTGTATAAATTCATCCATCAAAAAAGCATAAATTTCTATAAATTTCTATGACTTTTCGGAACAAGGGAATATATAAGAAACATTAAATAAAAAGAGGTAATTGTTAGATTTCTACGCGTAGTCTTGGTATTTATAAACGAGATATGATTCTGGTCATGATAATGGTGTTGCAAGGCGTTCAAACTGTCGGCAGAAATGTGCGCACACACAGAGAAAAGTGAACGTTGACTTGCCGAAGTCGTGGCTCACCAAGTAGTAATGACTTCCCTCACGGCACATTCCATAACGACGCTACACGACAGTGCATGGCAACGATCGTTCACTCAATACACACCCGTACACGCGCAGACACACACGTACATAAATAAATAATATAAAGATAATAGTAATAATAATAATAATATATAAGCGTCTCTACTTACCCCATAGACGAGCGCTCCGCGTTAAATGCGTGCACTATCGACGCGAGTTAAACCAAAAGGCGCAGGGCTGAATACTCATGACTTCTCACGAGCGAGACTGTAAGATAGAAACTTTAATACCGAAGCTCCTTTCGTATTCTTGTCGCGAGGGCCCTCCGGAATTTTCTTATCCTCCGCCGCTCCCGAGCCGCGATCTTCCATGTTCCGCGATAAGAATCCGCAGGACGATGCGAAAGTAATCGCGCTAGTTTTATGGATACGCCGAACCTCTTTTATTCCTCACATTTCTCTCTTTTTCCGAAACTTTTTTTTTAAGCGATGCATTGCTTTGTGCATCATTGCTCTATGACAATCACGCGTAAATATCTCAATTTTTAAGGGGCAAGGAAACTGAAACGTTTCATACGAACGGGGCGATTACTTTTGTAGTGCGTCGCGTGTGGAAACTTGTGTCGAGAAACCAAAATACTTTGTGAAAACGGCGCGACTAGACACGGGGGGAGAATTAATATTTTTTAGTATGTAACTCGGCGGGCAGGGAGACGAGAGAAAGGGCGCGTGGGCAACATAACGTATTGTTGTTAACGCGGGGACACAGTTGCCAATTGGAGGGTAAATGGGGAGGAAGAAATGTGTACGATTGTGATTTATTTTGCATCGATGTTGGCGAAACACGACGACGACGACGATTTTAGATAAGTCGGTACGCATATACATACCTACATACATATATTTAACTATGTGCGTATATATATGCATACACAGATATATAAATATATTATAGAATATATATATATAAAAGATATTGATCGCGTTAGGATTGCCGCGAAGTTTCACGGCGGTGGCGAGGAAGACGAACGGTTTTTTTTCTCCGCCACCCCCGCCATTTCCCCGAGAGTAAGGATCTGTAAATTTTCTTGTATGTACTACAAATCTTCTGTAAGTAACGCGAAAATGGGGCGAGCGATTCTGTTGGACCAGGTAAATGGACACTCGAACAGTTTGCTTGGAAGAAAGCTGGACGAGTCCGGGAATTCTGGCGTCCTCCGTGATTATTATTTAAATTCTCCTCAGGAAGTAGTCGATTTTGAGTTCGTTTTCAGAAAGTCCGACAAGGCCAACTTCGCGCTTCATACGCACTCTGCGTTTACTCTTACAAAGTGAATTTTCGTCGCGATGTTCGACCTCGTCTCGAATACGCGTGATTAATATAAAATGTGTTACGAGAGGGCAGAAGGGCGCGCGTATCATCTGCAACGACGTGTGTACATTTACATGAGTCTTTGAACAAAGCCGGAAGCTATAATTACAGTGTAAGGATAATCAGCGAGGCTCGTTGAGACGAAAGGCGAAGTGCCCGACAGTTCGAGCTTAAGTTTTATTTATTCGGAACTGGACGAAGTGAAGCGGAGGCGATTTAAAAAGGGAAAATCGCGCGATTTCATGTAGAATTAATCAAATCAAATCGATTAGTCTTAATTTCCGATTTAGATAATTCGATATTGTTACGCCTGTACAGCGATTAACTTCCTCGTAAGAGCCAACAGCATTTCAGCGGGCGAATTATGTTCATTTGTACCTTTCCTTTCACGTTTGCGAAAATATCGATAGACGGATTTCGTTTAGCTTCCTAGATGAATTGTACTTCACGTCAGAAATGTCTACTTTTTATTTGAATAATCCGTATTTTGCGTACGGGATGCGCCAACGCGTCTCTAACAAGATGGCTCTTTTATTTCTTATATATATATTTTTTTTAATATTCTTGGTCGCGTGTTACGAAAAGTCATCGGGACACATTACCAGTTTCACGGAGATGTTGGCGCATCCGGTAAACACGGCGCGCAGTGCAGATCGAAACTAGACGTAAGGACATTAGACGTAAAAGATATTCTTAGCTAATCTCGCCAATTTACGACACAGTATTTATCAGAGGTTTTTTCTAAGGAAATGAGAGATAGAGGAAAAGGGGGCGAAACGGGGTTCTCTTTTGGATGTAGGCTTCTCGATATCGTGCGAGTTTGTATGAACGAAATAAATATAGTTGTCACTCGTCTCAACCGCGCTTTCCGCATGGGGTTTCCCCGTAAAACTAAATTATTGTAAAACCGTTGTGTACCTAATGTCCACGGGTATTCCAAAGCTTATGTAAAACGAAGTGTATGCTCGTGATACAAATATATATATATTCGAGAAACGGTCGTCGGGGGATCGATCGGGATCGGCGATATCCGAAAGATGAGAGAGAGATCTACGATTTGAGAACGGATGAATAGAGAGAGTCCGGGGCTCGAATTGGTCCCCGGAACTCGCGAGAGATCCATCCAGGTTGCAAGAACGTCATTTACCCACACCGTTACAAATATACGATGGTATTATTATTAATAATAATAAATTTGTAGCAAATCTGTACAAAGCCAAATAAATCAAAAAAATTTCGTAAATCCTCCACCCCGGCTTTTCTCCATTGAAGAATGTCAGTTCCTCCGGATTGGCAGTGATCTCGCAAATCGAGCCGGCCTTTCCGAATTTTACTTATCAGCCTCTGGCGTATCTTTTCCTCTAATCCGCAGACATCTCCGTATATCGCGTTCTTGCGAATTTATATTTATTTTCGCGCGATCTTCGGCGAGGGCATTCACACCATGGGCGTATGTAATAAAATTAACATTTTATTTGAAAAATCGAGACATACACAGATGCGAAAACAATGATAGCACATTCTGGTAGCACCGATAAATAGACGCTGAAACGATATCTTTAGATTTTAGAGTGACTATGCGCGGGCTGATTGCTCGTTTGATCGATTGGATCGTTTAATTCTCCTTTTTTTTTCTTTCTCTCTATGCGGATTAGCTCCTTCGTTTCGATTAACACGTCGAGCAACAGCTTTCTCGCGAATCGGTCGGAGCGATACAGAGTGTCCGTGGAGCTTCTACCTGTGATCATCAAGATTGCAATTATTCGATCTCTACAATAGATATTTTCCAGGTCAGCCTAAATATTTGATGATAATTAATTAAGTTCGACAGTTGAAAAATACTCTTGACCTTTCGGCGAAATTTAAATAAAATCTCTATCGATTCTCCCTCTTTTTTTTCCATAAACTTTCTAGCGTAGAAACCTTCCTCCGCGGGAAGGAAACTTTCCCCACGGAGATATACAGATCTCTCACGAGCACGCTGTATCCTCGATGCAAACAGAATCGAGTATCTTTTTTTTTTCTTCCGACCGACGTACCCTCTCGCTGATCCTTCTTATATACTTCTAGAGCGGAATGGATATATAAATATATTTATACAAGATGTATCGCAAAGCGTCGGAGTCAGTACACTTTATTATACAGCCTGTATAGCGAAGTCGCACTAAATCGTTCTTGCAATAGAGATAGGAAAAAGGAACTATCGAGGATGTTAACGGACTGATCTCCGGTAAGCCGCCTACTTTCGGATTTTGATCGATTTCTCCAATCTCCTTCTGCCACGCTCTAGCGGAGTTGCTCTCTTACCCCTAATTTATCCTTCCTATATGTACGTATCCCTTTAATAGCGCTATGTACAAACGTAAATGAGGGATCAACATTGGTCGCAAGCCTGACACTGTAACGGTCGATTGAACGTTGATAATAATACTCGATGCTCTCGCTATGCGTTGCAAAAAAAAACGAATCCGGTCATTGCAAAGAATCGAAATCAACACAGTCGTAAGGATCATCGTGATCGCGCATACGAAACGCAGTTCCCGGCTTTTTTAATTCCTCGACAGCGAATCGGGCGTGTTCCTCGATTATAGAAATATCCGTGGCATTTTATTATTGGCACTACGATGCACTCTCCCTTGGTTCGATTTACTTTCCATCGTGTTTCATCGTCGATAAAAATTACATTGTCTTCGATAAAAACGGGTATCGACTTCTACCGACTAGCGTAGGAAATCCCGTCCCTTCGTGAACGATTCCTCCCCTTCCCCCCCCCCCGCCCCGCCACCATTAATTATCTATTAAATTATGATCACCGAAGCATCGTCGATTGCTCGATTGATCGTCGCTCGATAGCGCCGCGGCACTCACGTATAATTTCGGGTTTGCTGGTTTCGTTTCTCTCATTTCGGTACGCTTTTGTATTGCTATACGAGTGGTGTGAGTCCCTCGCTATCATTGGCACCATCATCAAATCCGCCCTTCGTCTTTCTCCGCTAAAAAGTGATCAGCCTTTTGTTATGTCGTTTCGTGATGCAGCTCGACCTAAAGCTACGTTTAGATACTATTAATAAATTGGCGATTCGTTGATCCACGGGGGAGGTTCTCCGCCGTCCTCAACCGAAATTGTACGCGCGGCGCGCTATCTCTCGAGATAAGAGGTTGAGATCGCATCGTAAAAATCGCGACGATGTCCTGCGGTTTCGAAAGTTTGCGCTGTCGCTTGACTTTTTATCACTTTTACTCATTTGGCACGATGTCATCGGAGGTGGACGATACTTGCGGCGAAATAAATCCTCGGTACTGCAGCCCCGATAATGCGTCCGCCATTTCCTTTCCACGCGTTTGAAGAAGGAATGTGTTGTGTACGTAACAAAAAGAATCCCGCGATTACGTTCGTAGTGTTAAATTAATCCGATTAGTAACGACGGGAATATGTTTCTATTTACATGCCGGTAAGTAAGGCAGGCATTCCCTTAGTCGTATAATTATGACATCTGCGCGAACGAATTAAAATTACAGTGTGTTACCTCTCCGAAATATACATACCCGATCGCTCGATATCGCACGACTTCAATCTCGTCTCCGGTAATGCGGGATCTAAGCGAAACTTCGTGGCGATCGATCGTGAACGCGTTCGCTGAGAGAAAAACGTCTCTCGCCTCTCCACATATAATATATACGATAAAATTTAAACGATGCAAAGTTGAACGAAGAGACAACAACGTATACTCTAAATATTACTTTCCGCTCCGTCCGCCGTGGATATCGACATCGCCGATCCTTTCAACCCTTTCAAAAAGAAGCAAGCGTTCCTCGGGCCGTACGCGGGAAAAAAATGATGTTGTACCGACAAGATCAGTGCAATTGAAGTAAAATCGTTGAAACAACATCGGTGTTGATAAATGAAAAACATCCGATTGTCTTAATAATCTGGATATTTAGTTCAACGCTTAAAATTAAAATCCATAGCAAATACAATCGAATGAATCATTTATGTTCGTGGCAGCCCGTGACGTTAACGTTTAATTCAAGCAACTTCATTTTGCTCAATTCAACAGCATTTTTGTTTCCGTGCAAAAACATAATGTTATACGCAATTGTTCCGCCTTGCCAGATCAGCTGCGACATCAACATTTGAGAAGATCTCCCACGAGTTCTTTATCCGCACGCGTTTCCGATTGAAAGTATCGACGACGATTCTCCGACAAGACTCATCCCGGCAGACGACTGATAAACCTTTCACACAGCAACGACCAAATCGAGGATGTCTGAAATGACGGAGGGTTGCCTTGATACGAGCACGACACGCACAGTGTCGCAAAAGAGAGTGTGTGACGAACAGAGCAATTCGTTTTTCGCATTCGATTTCTTTCTTCTCTAGAAGGAAAGATAGAAAAAGATTTTGTGTGTGTGTATGTGTGTGTGTGCGCGTGTGTGTCTGTGTGTGAATCATACGAGTTCATGAGCTGAAATGTCGAGCTCCTCCTAGATCCATCTGGGACTTCCGTCGACATTCTCATCTAGATACGTCTACTTAGATAATCTCCCGAGCAATGTAAACGTCCAAAAGATACCCGACGAAATTGGGGTATCTTTTAAACCGTTACATTGTCCGAGTTGAACTGCAACGGCTGATGAAGGCATCCGTCGGCAGCCACTGATATCTTCGATCCTTCTCTCGAGAACCTGAGGAAAATTCTGAGCGGCGTGTCTCCTGCTGCGATGTCCCGCAACTCTCTCTCTCTCTCGATTATCTCTCCACCCAAATGCGATCCTCGCTCTTGCCCCGCTACCGGCCGACGTCCGTCGTTCTCACCCCGAAGAAATCCACGGCGACGTTCCCGACTCTCTCCCCGCGAACCTGAGGAAAATCCTGAGCGACGTGTCTTGAGCTACCCCGATTCTGAAATCTTTTTCCACGCGGACACGATTCTCACTCTTGCTCCACGCTGATGTCCACCGTCCTCACCCTGGACGAGTCCGTGGGCAACAGTTGAAGACGTTCGGGCTCCGCGTCCAGCATGATGATGCACATAAAGCTCTTGCCGGACGCCTGGTCTCTGGGGTAGATGGTCACCGGCGCGAACTTGTCCACCGAGCCGTCCACGTAGGAACAAAGTTTGCGGTAGACCTGGGGGAAGTGTCTCCTCAGGGAGACTCCCCTGAGCCTGAGTTGCCGCTGAATATTGGTGAAGCTAATCTCGCGCGCTTTTCGCGGCGTGTTCTGACCGTTGTTACCGGGTAGCGATGTCAACACGAGGGTCTCGGGCGAGTCCATCTCTCGAGTGATGTTGCAGGGAGACGCGGGTGCCTGTTGTTGCGACAGCCTTCTCCTGGCCTGCGGGGACGCCGAGGAGGAGGAAGCGTGCTGTTTAGCCGCGCCGTCGAGTCTGATCTTGGCGCATCTGGACACCAGTTGCCGTTCCCATCTGACCGCACCGCTGGTCGGCACCTCGCTGACCACGCATACCGCCACGTAGAGCACCAGCCGCGCCTCCGGATTGTACGTCTTGCAGAGGCGCATCAGCTCGGCGTACAGCTCGGCGCCCATCTCGCCCGGCAGCAAGTCCGGCCAGCGCACGTAGGTGGGCTCGCCAAGGTCGGCGAAGCCGTTGCCGACGAAGCGCTCGGCCGCCTCGGGGCTCGAGAAGAAGCACTTGACCGCGCCGCGACCGTGAGCGGCGTAGCCCCGTCTAGCGAGGGCGGAGATGTGCTTCAGGGTGGCCGGGTCCTCCTTCGCCGAGGACAGCACCTGACGGCAGAGGCTGCCGGCTCGCGAATGAAGGCAGGTCCTGCGATGACGCTGCCAGTGAGCCCTACGACACTCGCGCGAGCAGTATAGGCAAGTGCAGTTGTGGCAGCTCTTATAGGTCCTCCTCGCCTCGGCCAGGGTGGTCGAGTTGCCGCACTTGTTGTTACGGCACCGCACTACCTTGTCCATGGCCGAGCTGCCGTTAGTCGTGGAGTCTTGGGCGTTGTCGAAGGACACCCTGCGGTGGCGAGGCTGGGCGCCACCGCGCGGCATCAACGACGAGGACGACGCGGCTGCGACGGTGGCAGCCGCGGCTCGCGAGGCCGGCAGCGTATCGCTGCCCTCGCTCTTCCTTCTCACCAGCTCGCCGGAGTAGAAGCTGCGCTGATCGTCGACGGTTGCCTGGTGTACGTCCATCACGCTCTTAGCTGACTCTGCGACAAGTCAGATCGATTGCCTTCGTCAGTATGAATGTGGCGGGATAAGGTCGATAGGAGAGACGATGAGAGAGGTTGGAGAACGATTGCGACTGAAACTGAAGGGCTCGTCTCAAAATCGTGTCACACTTTTTATAAAAAGCCAAGATGCATCTTTCTCTCAAGCGCATTGCTCTCGCAGCATCTCCACGCAGCTCTTTGCAGCGCATAATTTCCATATTTTCTTAAGTGTGGACTTAACACGATTTGTAAGCGAGCTCTTCTTCTCGAGTCATCCTACTAGAACGATGGCATTAAACAGAAAATGATGATGTCTATTCGATGAGGCAAGAATGAATAGCACTAAATGATTTCGTGTAGCGATGCTATCGAATGAGAGAGGATTCGTTCTCACTTTCCTCCGTCATCGTCACCGAGAGCCAGCGCGAGAAACGCGTTAAGCACAATGACATGATGATTATAAGCAAGTATGAGCGTGAATGACAGTGATCGGCGTGGATGCATCTCTTAATGACGCACTCGTACGTCTAATAATTCTCCTCCCTCCCAACAGTCTAATTTTTCTTGCCATTTAAATCGCATTTCCCTTGTGTCAGTGATGGCTTCGCAACGTACTTGAAGCGGTTATCTAAGAAAACTAAAGCGTCAAAGCAAATAACAACTAGATTGAAATCATTTGAAAGAAGAACAAGATAGGTAACCAAAAAGAACGTGTTTTAATCTAAAAGTATTAAACCTTTTCTAAAAGCATATAAATATCTGCGAATAAACATATTTAAGGTTTTTAAGAATCGTTTGTATTAAAATTAGCCTTTCCTTCCAAAAGGTCCCTTTATGATATTATCATTGTTATAAGCTTTTCATTGTCGCAAGTGGACCCGGGGATTAAGTCTGAAAGACAAATTGCAATTTTAAATTTCGTGGGGGAAAAAAACATTTTTATTTTCAAACTTCTCTCTTGGAAATTTTTGCGAAAATGTTTTCTTTCTCGTTTTCCCCACCGTTGAATATTGCTTTTCCGAAAGAATTAATATACTTTTTATTTTTTATTTTTAGCTCTTTACTTTTAGTCTTGCCGTGTTGCTGAATGTACAATTAGAAAATTAGTTGCTATTGTACAATAGGAGCGAGTGGGCATATTGCTACAAGTTCGCACAGAAGCGAATCCAATCTGTGTATTCAACCCATCCCACGTGCCAGAAGCTTGATCGTGCACAGAACCATAGATCTGTTTTTTTTTAGTCGCACTTTCCTATCACGTTTTCCGCATCAAAAGTAAAAGTAATATCGAGTTTATGAAGCAAATCAATTGTCATCGATCCCCCCGTTAAATTTAGTTCTTTTTGAAATTCGACAGCCCAGTCGGAAATTTTCACAATAAAAGCGTGTGTGAAAGTCGAGACAGATCGCTGGAAAGTGTAGGAAGCGCTGCTAAAAAGGGGGACAGATCTTTAAAGAAACAGAGAAAAGATATGTAAGTAAAGAGACAGAGAAGAGAGAAAGAGAAAAAGAGAGAGAGAGAGAGAGAAAGAGAGTGTCGAGAGTCTTGGTGATGATTTTTGTCTTACGATCTCCGTCTCGGCTCGTGTTATTAATCATGCGCGCTCCTAATCATTCGCGCGATAAGCAGCGAGCGGCTGCTGCGGCGGCCGGCCACGGCCAAACTCGTCCTCGGACTCGTCCTTGGACTCTGGGGTGTCTACGACCCCGCGAGGGGCTTTACACGCCCTTAGGCTCGCCTCTGCAAAGGTGCAAAAGAACGTGAGTTCGTGGATCGGTGAGGCGTCGAGGCGCGATATACGCGTTATCGCCTTCTTCTTGATGTTCGGATGGCGTTCTCGTGGTTTTTCTACATCGATAGACATTGACGGTCGAGTCGGCATCGGTCCACGCACGACTCGAGTTAAAAAGCAACGACTTCGCATTCGTTCGTCCCGTTTTATTCACTTTTATGTCTCTTTTATATTTCTTTTAGCGATGAAAGTGAAATTTCGCTTTCGGGGGGGAGTCTTGGGTACTTTTTGCAACGTTCTTTCGATTCCCTGCGCCGTCGACGAGATGAAAATGTAAGGATGCAGGTATGGTATGATATGTAATTTTATCTTGAGTATATCTTATTCCGCGCGGAGAGCCTGATTCCTTCGTTCAAAACGCGAAGCGCAGTCTCCGTGGGGTGAAGGGTGAGGTGAGTGAGGCGACGAGGCGAAGAGAAACGCAAGTTTAAGTTTTTCTTTACGCCGCAAAGTGGAATACACAGTCGGTCACGTGTACATCGAAATGACCCGGAAAACGTTATACACCGGCGGCAGATTTCCCTCGTGTTCAAGTGATAAGAGAAAAGGAAAAAAAAAACCCGCACGTCTTCTTCGCGGACGCGTTCTCCCAAAAGGACTCTCTCTCTCTCGTTCTTTTCGGTCGAGAATTAACGTGCGCGCGACCAGGACCGATAAACGGTTCGCTATCAAATTCTGCCGCTTGCGTAAGATTCTTGCAGGCCACGCGATGCGCACGCTCTTCAGGGTACGGTAGGGGGTTCGTACGTATAGAGATTGATCGTCCTTGGATAGGAGCTGCCGATCAGAACGAAAACTTACATAGTCCTCCTACCTTGGAGGTCTTGGCGTAGGTCGCTGCAGCTCTTCCCGGCTTTCGCCTGGCCGACGGCGGCGTTCGTATGGCGTTGGCGGATGGCGGACGTGGCGGTCACGACGGGTCCCCCCGGGCCAGGACTCGGGGTACGCGACGCGGGTGGCAGCCCCAGGAGGGAGTCGAGTACGTCCTCCAGGGTCGTGGAGCCCGGGCTCGGTTTGTTCCGCAGAAGAGCTGCCGTCGCCATCGCCTCGTCCGTATCGCTCTGGCCCGATCCTGATCATCGGTTTCATGCGGGGGTAAAGAAGAGACAGAGAGGTTTGCGTCATCCTCTTGGCCTCGAAAGTGTACGTGCGCGCGCGCGCGCTCGCGCGTGCTCGCGTGTACGTATGTGCGCGTGTACATGTGTGTATGCATCGAGGTGAGAACAAGATTAAAGCCCTTCCCCCATTTTCCGTTAACTCCGTGATTAATAACAAAGCAATTACTTTCTCGTTGCCCCCTTAATCCGGTCTCCGTTTTACGAAAGGAGGCACCTGCGTGTGCGTGTGTGCGTGTGTCTGTGTAGGTGCGCGTGTACCCGAGCGAAGATGGAGCAATCTTCCAGGGTTCCATTGACCCCTTTGACCCCATTATGAATAAAGCGATTCCTTATCCCCATTGCGCCTTCCGATTAATTTCGTTAAAATTTCTCTTGGCCTCGGAAAAATCGTACGCTCCTCATATTAGGGAGATGACAAACTTTTTTTTTTTATTTATTGCGAGCCTCATCGATAGCACATGCGGCAGACGCGTCGTCGCAGCCGACCGAAGTACACCGCAACTTGCGGCTGCGGGAAAGCAACAATATATCCAGTTATGTGCCAGATCAAGTTTACGTTTCGGGATTGCTAATTAATCGATCGGCCGATCGATCAGCATCCAATGTCATCAGTTGTGCTTTACGCGCGCATAAGTGCGGCTGTCATTATTATACATACAGAGAAACAAAAAAAAACCAATACAGAACTCGATTGCTGACATCGTGAGAGCAACAAAATTCTGCAGCACTTACCGTGACACACGCAGAAAGTGGTGCGCAATGCGACCGAAATGGGTGTATATGCAGAAGACCGTGGGTGGCCGCGCCATTAAATCGGTTCTTTGCAGTAGCAGGATATTTACCAATTGAGATCATTAAGCGAACCGATTTAATTAACAACGAGACGCACAAGGGCGAGAAGAGAAAATAATCATACATACATGTGTGTGTGCATAAATGAACGAGGGAACAAAGATGGTTGACGAAGGGACACAGGGGGTGACGACAATAATTTATTTGTTGCCAGGGGTAATAATTACGCTCTACAGACAAATGATAATCGTTGACGCGTCCGAACAATAAGTGCGGAACTGGTTGATAGAGAGATAGAGAGACCAGAGGCGGGAGCACCGGGCACGCAGAATCGTCGCGAGATCATCGTTTCCGTCGTCTCGCGATTCACGCGATCGAATCGATCTTCATATAATATCACGCGCGCTTGATGTACTATTATATAATATATGTCGATAATTACAGGATAGAGAAATCATTAAGGCACAGCAAGCGACAAAACGAGACGTGCGCGCGTGATTCTGCGAGCTTCGGGGTCGTAATTAAAATAATAACAATGATGATAATAATAATAATACAATTAAAAATAATAATAACGATAATGATAATAATAATATCAACGCGCTCGTAACACATAATAAACGATGTGCGCGCGCCTCACATACATAAGTAAACCTAATTAATACAAGTATGTGCGTGCACCCGTACAGGTTCTACAGGTGTTAACGTAAGGTGGACAGCTTTACAGTAAACATATATGTGAACGCAAACAACTACTGATAATGGTGAGCGAGGAGGGAAGGGGTAGAAAGTGGTTAAATTAATATAAAATTGATATCTCCATACATGATACACGGTACAGGAGCGTCTTTTAATTATTCCTTTATCAGCGAACGGGGAGGGGGAGCGAAGGGTCGTCGACACGTATCGTAAACAAAGTAAGAAAGTGTACTACAAAATTCTTCGCGACGAGCTCTCTCGCGTGAGCGACGATAAGAATGAAAGAGAGAGAGAGACAGACAGACAGACAGATAAAGACAGAGAGAAAAAGTGTGAATGAGAGACGAGAGAACGCGCGTGGAATGGAGAGATTTTACTTTTAGAGTTTTTCGCTGCGCGAAAAGGTCTGCGAAAAGCGCGACTCGAGTGTGCACTTCCGGCTTAGTTTAGCCCCGAAATGTAATCCTCGAGCGAGTCGAGTCTGCCCCGGTAAGCAGGCTGCAATCGGGTGAATCGCCACGTCGCTAAATATTAATGCACGTTCGTTTTATCGTCATCTCGAGTCCCGCCGTTCGATCAAGCCTGACGATATCCACTTGAGAGCCCCGCTCTCGAAAGGAGAATTCTCGGTAGTAAAGGTTTCCTCGATGAACGAGCGAAGTCGCCGCGATTATTCGCGGCTCCAAGGATTTTACTACCGAGAGCCATTCTCAAGGCGTAAGAGAGCTCCCAAGTGGACGTACAGCCTTATCGTCCTGTATAAAGTCGCGGTGATAAACCTCCGAGAGAAAGGAGAGTATATATTGGCTCGAGTCGGCTTTGTGAATTAATTATTAGCTGAGTCCTGGAAGCTCGATTTAAGCCTCGCGCACCTGCGGCTCGCCCGAGTGCGCGGCGAAAGCTGACGAAAACGAGGACGGAACGAAGGGAGATAACGATTATCGATATGTGGGCGTAAGCTCTAATCAGCGTCGTGACGACGATAAAAAGCCCGCGGACCCGAGAGAGAATTATAAGAGTGCCTCCGGGCTTTTGCGCCTACGGCGAAATGAAAGCGCGACGAATAAACGTCACCCTTAAGGGGCATCTTTGATATTTACCACGTAGGGCGACTCGGGGGCGGGCGAAAAGTGGGGTCGCGAGAATCTATAATATTTCGCGACGAATTTACGAGACAATTCTTAAAAATTTGTACCTTGATTGAAGTTGATTGAAGAACCGTTCTCCCTCGATACTTGATATTTGAAAATATTAATCAATATTGATATGTTCGTATTAATCGTATCTGCTCCCTTGAAATTTTCTCCAAAACCGATCACGCTATTTCAAGCGAGCGCCTCGGCTCGATCTCTCCGATTTGCAACGGGACCTCCTCGCGGATCGTCTTCGTCAGTTTCGCGCGCTCAGCGACGGTGTGCCGGAAGTAGCCGGGCGCCGGAAGTTTCGCGCGGAAGTCCGCTAGGCGAGCAGCAACTCACCGCGGTGATGACGCTGTTGCTGCTGCTGGCGGTGCTGGTGACGCTGGTGGTGGTGGTGATGATGATAGTTAGAGGTGGACGTGGGCGACGGGCCGGCCGAGGACGCCTGCAGATGCTGGTGACGCACGTCATCCCGGCTGGGCGTCAGGTCCAGGTAGAGGCCGGATGCGGCCGAGTCCTGGCAGCTGCAGGACTCGGTGCCGGCCGCGTTGCAGCAGTCGCCGGCCTCCTGGTCGGTCGCCAGGCTCATAGGCGTCTCCGGCGAGTCCACGGGCCGCGTGCCGACGAACGAGCTCTCCATCCAGCACAGCCTCACGCTCCCTTCGAGGTGCCGACACAAATGCGAGAGCGATTAGGCCCGGGTCGTAAGTGACCCCTCTTCGCGTCGGCATCGGATAAGACTACTCTAATCGAGCTTTCCGTCTTTCTGCCCCCCCATTTCTTCCCGAGGGGAAGCTACTGCCAATTTTCAAGATGCACACAATTTTCTCAAATCGTGACTCGACACTTTGTAAATTGTATACTTGTAAAAGTTAACGAATTTATATATCCGATCCTGAAAGGGTCGGGGAGAGAGTCGACAAACTGGTTCTTAAAAATATTTTTAATCACAGTATACGTTTATCTCGTATACATTTCGCTTTCCCGCGATTAGGCGTAACAGATGCGTTAATCTGGCTACAAAATTTAATTCTGTAAGGAGTAAACGCCAAACAACTGCCACGTTCTTAAACGCGCAAAGCACCATGGGAGAAGTTATTCGTGCGTACGTGTTATATAATACCGAGGGGATTTATAATCTCTTTCGTTATAAGGCTCGTCTGACGATTAGGCTCCGACGATGCGGGCATCAACTATCTTCATTGATTCTATAATCGTCTTAAGTAGTAGAAGTACTACATATATGGGTATTGGCGAGACGAATAACAAAGGAAACGAAAAATAATAAACTGAGAGAATGCAACAACGTAATCATACGTGATTGTATACGACCCTATTGCATCTAATTACATTTAAAATTTATGTAACATTAAGAATCATATTCGTAAATATCTATTTTGAAAAGTAGCGTTAGTGAAGCACCAATTTTGTTAATAAACAGTAAGTTAGGTTGAAAAATATTGAAGTGAGCAACGCGTTAGTTGCATTTGTTATCGAAAGCAAATGTGTTAGTGTTAGTGCCGTAGGCGTTAAGTTCAAGTGCACAGCAGCATCGGGAAGATATCAAGTCGATCAAAGTTTCAGTGATAAGACAGAGCCTCGCAATTTCAATTTCACTCTAAGCTTTTCCTCGTCTTTTTCAACCTAGCCCCGATATTATATCTCGCTGACGGCTGGTCCGCGAGTTCGCTCGCGCCGAGAAGCTGAAGGGAGGAGGAGAGGAGGGTGTTTGAATTTCAGGGTAATCTATTTCGGTGGCGACGGTCATGAGACACTATCGAAATAGCAGCGACTCGTCTCGACGACACGCTCTCGAGTCGCAGCGCGCAGCGTCGAGATGAGAAGGTCACGATCCGGCAACCGGCGCCGACTACAATCTCGCAACGCCAGAAATCAAACGGCACATTGTCCGACCGGCTGCTACTTTGTAACGTCGTAAATTGACAAGCGTGAATCCTCCCAGTTGCCGGGAGTGCACTTTCTGTACATAAGCGATTTCTGTAATAAACATTCAAGCGCCAAACGCCGTTCACGTTTCTGTCATCTCTTATTTCCAGGACAGGACCCGGTCAGGGCCCCGAGAAGACTAAACTGACGCTCCTCGCGGTAATCTTGAGGCGCACTTCTGACATCAGATCCACGATGGGTTTAACGAAGGACCATCTGATGCTGAGATTGAACGTTTGCATCCTACCAATGGATTTATTTATATCTGAAGCGATACCGGTTGCCAGAGGATGTGAACCGCAATTCGAAACGCGGAAGATGTAGACTGAGTACTTGTAGCTTGAATACTTATACCACGTTAAGGCGCGACACGTGTATGCGCGCCACTTGCAAGAAGCACTCTCGCGAGCCGTTATGACTTGCACTCAGTACCTCAATGGCGAGCGAGAAGAAGAGTCTTCGTTTAGACAGTTTAGAGAAATTTACATTTAATCGACGTCGGCGATCTCGCGGCTTAAATCGTATTATTTTTGGTACCGTGAATATATCTAATAAAATAGATTCGACGATATAGCTTCCAATTAATTAAAAATTCCATAATTTCAATTCTCGTTGGCAATCCATTAATTTCCATTAATTCGAAATATAATGAGATACGTATATGAATCTCAATAGCGTTTTGCCAGAATGCGTAATATCACAATTGGGGTTTAAATGAAGAATTCTAAGGGTGCTCGAGGTCACGGAAGAGATATTTTGGAACGCGTTTCTGAGGAAGGCCAACGCTCGCTCGGACAGTTCGTCCCGCCGGACCCTTAAAATTCTTTAATCCGAGAAATCCGGGTGGGTGGGGTGTTAAAAGTGTTAAAGACCGACCTGTTTTGACCTCATCGATGCGCAGAGCCAGTTGATGCATACAGAGACAAAGAGAGAGACAGAGACAGAGAGAAAAAGAGAGGCAGCTTGCAAAGGAAGATAAAAGAAGACATTAAGAAAATAGGAAAACTCAAAAATTACCTTCGTGACGGAGAGCAAAGGTGATGGTGGTTGTGATGTTGAGAGGATGGTATGTTTTTTTTTGTGGCTGGGGGGATGCTTTAGTGCTCACCTCTGGGGCTGGTAGACCTCGCTCCGCCCCTGTCGTCCCAATCTTCAGGTCGAGGTCGAGGCGAGAGTCGGCCGCCACCACCTCCACCGACCTCCTGGCCGCTCTGCACGTAGTGCACGATGGCCGAGGTCACCTCCTTTATCGAGTTCCGCACCTCCAGCTGCTGATTCGTTGTCTGTTGCTGCTGCTGCTGTTGCTGTTGTTGCGAAACAAGCATGAGGTTGTCCGTTCCGGACAATCGGAGATTTATTTGTGGATTACAATTGGCATTTCGACTCAAATTTATTCCAGCCAGGACATTAGCCACCGTCAGACTTACTTCATTTCGATTTTTAATGTCGCGAGCTTAGAAAAGCAATTTTTCTCGAGACTATTTCTCACAAAATCTTGTAAAGTGTCTGCCAACTGTAATCGTTTATTGTTTCGAATGCCTTGAAGGATTGCAAAAATCTGAATTATAAGTAGCTTGTCGGAATAATCAATATCTTTTAATATAAATTGATAATTATCGCTCTTTGGCACCAAAGTATTCATGAAACAAATAATTATACTTTATATAGTCCGTTATAACAGAGATGCAAATTTTGATACGTTAAAAAAAATTATTAAAATCAAAGCAATCAACATTATTATTGTCAGGGAAAAAGCTTTAGAATATGATCGAACCTCGAAAATGTATCGATGCGTGAAGTGTTCGTCGGGGAAGAAACCACGAAAGACACGACATGACAGGAGCTTTCCGGCCAGAATTTCTAATTTTAGAAAGCGGCGTCGCGCTTGCGTACTGTTCGCGGAAATTAAAAATAAATTGCACAAAGAGCAAGATGCAAATCTCGTCGAGGGGTCAGAGAGTGAAACGAGAACGAGTCGCAGGAGTGTCGCGCCGTTAGTTCACGTTTCGTGAATCCATGAATAAATACGAATATACAACGAGTGCGTGGACGCGCGAGTAATTTAAAATGTAACGCACAGAATTACACGGCCGCGCGTATCGATTCGCGAACGCGCTGGAATTCTAAGACCTACTGACGCGAACGGGATGACGTCAATAATTTCCACGGGGCATCCGCTGGCATTTGCTGGCTGGCGCACTCGCGGCGAAACAGACGAGGGAAAATTGCGTTAAATGGTGGATGGGCGATTTTAATCTGCCCTGAGATTAAATCCCACGGTGGAAGATTGTGAAAATCTGATGAGATCGAGACGACGAAGAAAGTCGAGCGCGCGAAGAAGGGGTCGTTTCCCTTCCCCGTCGCGCACTTACCTTGTTCGCGGCCTGCAGCTGGGGAAGAATGCCCTGAGCAAGACGTTCCGCCGGTGTCCGCGGGTTGGTCAGTCGCTCCTGAGAACGCCAGCCCAGGTAGGGCTGCCGGTGATTGAAGGACGACCTGGCCGAACTCGCGGGCGAACTGCCGGCGCTGTTCAGCAGACTGGTGCTCCATCTCGAGAATACGGGGGGCGTGGGACTGGGACTCAGAAGGACACCTACGACACAACGAAACGTCCATTGCACATAGTTCAATTATCCAAATTATCCAAACCGTTTGCTGTGCTTTAAAAATTTATAGTTGTGGCGAAATATCTTTAGCAAACTATGATTAGCTGATATGAGACAGCGGGCTTTCTACTAAATTAATAGGCATCGTCTGTTGGTTCCACCATAAATTTATTGCCCTTAGAGTGATATCTATTTAGTGGAAGATTCATTGTTAGATTGCGTAATCGCCGCGAAAGAAGAATGTGATTGAATTTGAATGTTGGAAACCTGCTATCTCATAATAGGGGACTGTGTCTGTATTCGTGATTCAAGGATTGCACATTGGAGATCAGCTACTCCGCCTTTATTTAACCCACTGAAAGTTCTTAACGTTTAACTTGCTCTTATGGAGTTGATTGTCTCTCGTTGCCGGTTAAAAAGTAACCTCTGTATCCCACCTGTGGTCGGCTGTCGATTGGAAGACGACGAAAGGGACGACAGGGAGGTGGTCTTGGAGCCGAGGGCGCGCCATCCTCCATGCTGCGACGCGTCCGAGTGCCTCTTCAGCCGGAAGCCGTCGCGGGCAGCGGGTGAATTCTTGTACCAGTCGGGTACATTGAGCCGCTGCAACGATCGCTGCACCCTAAGCTCGTGCTCGCTCGGCACGCGCTCGCCCACTTTCTGCAGCTCATTCTCCGGTGGCTGCAACGACAAATTCGTATTCGTATATGCTTCACTGCTCCCACCGCGTTCGTTAGTCATGATTATAAGAACTGTCGCGATAAATTCGCAGAAGCGGGGGCGTTGTTTCAATAGCGGTACAACTTTGTTGAAAATCAAGTTGACCAGACCTTCAGGTTCGCGCAAGAGAGTATACTTTTTATCTCGACGCTGGCACGTGCACCTTCAACTTTCTTCCACGAGTTCCCGCGTACCTCTCAACTCCTGAATTTTCTTTATTTAACTTAAAGAATCGATGGTCTCGAAATTAATGAAAATGGAGCTACGGTCGGTTAAAATAACACCTTCAAATATCTTTCCTGCTTACGCAAGTTCGGGGGATCGGGGTGTCCATACTAATTAGAGGATTGCCGATAAAATTTCAGAACAATGGAACGATAGAATTTGAATGGCGGAAGTGAAATTGATAATTAGGGACAGGCACTTTATGCTTTAAGCATAATAGCATAATGTTTCAAAAATTGTTCTTAAGCTCTAATCTTGATAGTTATGCACAGTACACACTTGACATTGACAGATTTCAATCGCCTAATAACGCGTAATAAGAACCTCCGCGCAGCATAATGCAATTCTCGCATAATTATCGCGTAATTGCCACGAAAAGTCGGTTTTTGCATTTAAAAAACTTGGGTTTGGGGAAACGGACGTATATTTTTCCAAATCATACACTTTTCCCGTTTTGTCATTCCAATGACTTGAAAGCTTGCGGAAGCTTCTCGATTGGAGAATCTCGCCAAAGAACAGGCGCGAATTCCCCGGTGGCGTTTGTGGCACGCAGAGAATACGTGTGGTTGCCGTGCGAGAAGCATCGTGCGGGACCATCAATCCTGCCGCGCGAAAGTCTCAGGGACAAACCTGCGCGAAGGTCGGCGCGACCAGGTCCTCGTCGCAGCTTCTCGCCGCGCTCTCGATCAAAATTCGACACGCCGCGCTATTAACGAACTCACGAGCCGCCGTCATCGTGGCGCGGCCGCTCCACGATCTACGATGCGAGCAGATGCGAGTCCCTTGAGACGCGCCGGGAGCGATCATTGGTCTGGGTGCGACACTCGATTTCATTCACGGACTTCTATTTCCAGAGCATTTCCAAACGACTGAAGCTACACTGCTAAAATTGTACACGTACGGAACGCAATTCTCGTTGCTTCTCCACGCCGGGTTATTGATCGGATATGACAAAACAATTCTACCGCAAAGCACGCTGTCACATTTTCAGAGAAAGAAAGTTAACGCTGGTGACTCGCAAGTCTTGACAGATATCGGTTCCCGTTTGGAGGTTTGTCACTGTTAGCTGCTCCTTCATATTTTTCATTGTCTCGACTTCAATGCTAATCGCACGACGGCCACATAACGGATGCACGTGACGAACGCGCGCGTGATTTTCATGCACGGGGACTAACGGGATTAAATCAGAAAGCGAATGGCTTCCACGTCTCCTGTCTCCTCCTCGTCATCGAGCGAGGGAGCGGTTCCGCCAGTGCACGCACGTGTGCGTATCGGCCCAAGGAAAATATTTCTCGAGACATTTTAGAACGTTCAAGTTTTATCCGCGCGTAGGGCAGAAGCGCGCTTCGCATAAATATTTCTTCAACCGAAACTCCATCCCTGGCGCTGCCCGGAGAGGCGAAACTACGAGGGTGGGTTGAAAAGTTTTGAGCCTCGACATGAGGACGGCATTACTTGTCGTCGCCACCTCAGTACTGCGACTGTACATGCTTCGAAGGATTATACCTCTGAAAATTTCAGCCATTTTGAATTCTCAGTTGTTGTACGACAGTCGTTTACGTCAGTGGACGTTAGTATTTTCATAAACATGGAAAAATCGAATATCGGGCCAAAATTCACGAATTACAGCTCGTACCGATTGCCCAACCCCCGTATTCACCAGATTTAGTCCCCCCCAGTGACCTTTTTCTGTCTCCTAAACTCAAAGCTTGGTTCGGGGGACAGAAATTTTCATCGAACGAGGAGGTCGTAGCATCCGTAGATGCCTATTTTGCGGAGCAAGACGCCAACTATTATTGGAGCATCGCTGGAACAAGTGTATCGACTGAAAAGGAGACTATGTCGAAAAATAAAAGTGAGTTTGACCGAAAATAATTGTTTCTACGTTAGGCTGAAAACTTTTCAACCCACCCTCGTAGAAGCAGTGGTATACCTCGGCGTTGGTGTACGTCGAGGTCGTCTCGCGAAGAAATTAGAGCTCGCGGAAATGATTGAGTGCCGCTACGGTCGGAGGCGCATTTCTGTTCAAATTGCACGGCAATTAATAAAATAGGTTATTAAATAATCCAACGCGGAGGACGGCGAAACCGATCCAGAGAGAAGTTTTACGTGATTAATGTGCGTGCGTCTCTTCCTCAAATTTCATCTCCCGACAAACTAATCTTCATCGGGACGGCGAAATAATCGGATATTAATGATATCCAGTTATTTTCGGACGGCGAGAAAATCGAGAGCGCGACTCTTGCTCGGTTTCCCAATCCCGTGACAGACGCAAAACGGACGGCGGTGATGCAGGATTCGGAGTATGGGGCCAAGGCTGGGCTGTGTGAGCCGGGATAGGTGCGATCCGCGTGCGGAAATGTGAGGGGCGTTTACGTAATGCGGACGGGAAGAGCAAGAGGCGTTCGTTTCACAGAATCGATTTCGCGAGTCGCTAAACTTCTCGCAACACCATATAAGCCAAAGTCGCCGCGAATGTCCGAATGAAACTCGCGATTCGCGCGAGATATATTCGACGGCGGGACCTTCTGGCTTCTTCTCGACACATCGGGACTTTTGCAAACCTTGCCGAAATCTGTAACCACGAATATCTCTCGCATCTAGCACCTCTAATAAAATTACAACTCTCGCGACCAAATTTCAAAACGATGCCAAGTTAATTTTCCAGATTGTGAGGCGAAACCAGAAGATTTTCATCTCTGAACGCTGTTTCTTGGACTCGAGGATCGAATGATCCGGTGGGTTTAAAGCGATATAATAGAGGCGATAATAATCTACCATCACCTGAAATTGTTGGTTGAATCATGTAACTAAAGACCGGCGTAAAGACCGGCGCGATTAGATCGACGAGTCTAGAAATCGAGCTGGATCAATGTAACAAAAAGCGATAGAAAAAGAGCTTGGTGGTGGTGGAATCGAAATGACATCAAGATTCTGTATCTCGATTAAAAGAAACGCCGAGGTTCGATATCGCGTTACGAGAACGTACGCGTTGCGTAACGGACGTCTCGGGTGTCCCGACACGGAGATGCAGTAACGTTAATTTCAATTACAGGCCGTCGTCTTTTCCGTCACCGCGTCATCGCGTTGTCCCCGTCAATTGACGCGAATTAGGGGAAAGCCACGTCAAAGACGGCGCAGCGCGCATCTGCCATTAAGGCGGCCAAAGACCTCGCGCCTCTCTCGCTGCGAGCGCATATGCATCGCGCCGATGCATCCTGTTCCCGCAGCGTCCGCGAGTGCAACCGGCATCGCCTACGATGCTCCGGTACCATCGAAGAGTACACGGTGAGAATTTTCCCTCAAAATTTATCCTGAAAATCACGTGATCGTGGGGACAACGCGACATTTCCAAGAATTTTATACGAGAGCGTTTGGAAATTTTACCACACATTTTACTGGAAATTATTTGTTGGTACACGTTTCACCAGTAAAGTGTACGGTAAGATTTTCAAAACCCCTCATAAAGTTCTTCAAAATGCCACGTTGTCTCGCGATTACATGACTTTCAGGGTGAACTTGAAGAGAAAATTCTCTCCCATCGCTTTTCACAGATTCTTTCGAACACAATTTTAATCCACACGCGTAACAAGTGGTCCTAGGCTGGTTCTACAATAGACGCGGCAAGCCGCAAGAAATCGGCCGATGACGGTCGATTATTTTTCTCATATTTGGCTGGGGTTGATCGATTTCTCGCGACTTGCTGCGTCTATTGTAGAACCAGCATGGTATAGTAAAACGTTCATTAAATGAACATTAAGAAAACTCTTGTGTTCCGATACTGATGATATTTTCATTCAAATTTCAGAACCATTTGAGAATAAAAATGGAATTGTCGTGGACCAACGATTTTTCCGGTTTTACGCGAGTTTCGAAAACTATCGCTCCACGTTTATGTACCTTGGTCATTTAGCCATTCGCGATGCTTGCATGTTGACTGTCGCGTTAACTATACGTTGAAATTACTGTACATACGCGCATAAATTATGACGCGATATAATCTTGTGGATATAATCCTAATAGTTGTGTAGCCCCGGCTCTATAGTCGTAAGGAAAGTGGGGAAACCCGCGCCGAGAGGCTCGCCGCCTTTTATCACCATTCATTGTTAACCGCCATCGATTGCAATTGTTTTCGAAGGCTAGCCTTAATAATGCACCCACACCAATACGGCGGAAGTTGCAGAACTTTTCCTCGGCCGGTCGAAACTTCGGAATCGCGAACGGCGGAATCGCTCCCTTGTGTCTAAATAATTCCTACCGCCTTATCATAGAAATGTTGGTCGAAAGTGTATTACGATAGCGAACTATGTCGAGAAAATGAATAACTGGCATGGTCAAATGGTTGATAACAGTGGAGCTATCAGTAATTCATGTACACAAGTGATGTTACTCGTGCTTTCTAAGTTAACGATACGAAGTCAATATTAGATTAATCAAATAACGTTTTGTTTTAAGAGACAAGAGAGTAAGAAGCCCATTTTCCCCTCTTTTTACTTTTCACAGTCATTGAATTGTTTCCCACATCCTTTATTTTTACCTCACATTATTTAACTTCGATTGAGAAGCTACGTTACAGTTGAATTGTGATGAACGTACCTTATTTCTTCAATTAATATTCGTTGAAGCCGCTAATGCCTTTTCGCTAAAATATCGCCTATGCGAGGCCCGCGCATTGCGGTTCGCACATGCGGCACGCATATGCCTGCAACGTATAAATACACCGACACGAGTGCTCA